TGTTAATGACATAAAGCCGGTATTTTAGGCTCCTCAAAATAATGATACTCCTCAGTAATGGTTCTTCCACAGTGCCTTCATTTTGATTGGAGATTAGCTCACACGCAGAGAAGGTGGAGTGGGAGGCCTAGGTGCTCCTATGTCCTAGGGCACGCAGCGCAGTAGGGACCCGTGGAGGTGGCCCAGAGCAGGAAGTGGGGTTTAGGGGGCAACTGTGTTCTGCCTCAGCTTCTGGGATCTCCGCTCGGCCAGGGCCTTTCCATTGTGGTGGGAAGAGGAGGTGTGGCCGTGGCAGGGGCCCCCGGCACTGGCCCGCCCCCTGAGGAGGTGTGGCCATGGCAGAGGCTCCAGCCATGGCCCGGCCCCACCCCCAACACACATGGGAGGGTGACAGGGTCCCTGGGCTTTAGAAGGAATCCTGGGGCAGCTGGTTGGTGGGTAGGCACTGCGTCCTACGTGGCCAACTATGCATTTTGAGTCTCAGTCCTGGTGGCTTGAAAATTCACAGGGGCCAGGACCAGCAGTTGGCATAATGGCTATGTTGCTGGACTCCCATGTAGTCAACTGCAGTTCGAGTCCTGGACCCAGTGGCTTAAATTCATGCCGGGCATGTGTGCATGAATGCCCAAGATCCTGAGGGGAGAATGGAGAAGGCATTGAGGCATGGCCTCAATGATTTCTTGCTGTCTCTCCGTCTCTCTTTCTGGTGAGCACACGTGCCCTATAGCAACAACAACAAAAACTCTCAAAAAAAAAAAAAAAAAAATCACAGTGGCCGAGAGAGAGGAGCAGGAGGAGGAGGGGTCTCGGTGTGGTCATTCTCCTTGGAGGGTAATTGCTCGCTTTCTCTCTGTGGCAAATACACAGAGACGAATTTAAAAATTGAAAAGAAAAGAAAAGAAAAGGAGAAGAAAAGGAGAAGAAAGCCATCTTGCATTTAGCCCCATCCCAAGTGGCCAGAGTAAGCAGCAGGCGCCGGGTGGGTGTTTCTCCACGTTTATTACACAGCGGGCGGGGCAGGTGGGTCGGCGGACCCTGAGAAGCGATGCCCAGCCCGGAGTCAGCAGGCCAGGAGGGTCCCTTGCTCAGCCCCACACGCCCTGACCCTCCCGTGGGCAGGAGGAGGGCCCCTGTCTTATCACAAGTTCCTGAGTCTCCGATGCCCCCACTGAGCACTCTGGTGCCCCCCAGACCAGGACCCCAGGCCAGGGCAGTGCCAGCAACGCTCATGGCTGGGGGTGGGGCAGCCGCGGTGAAGGCCAGCCTTCTACCCCCCCCACGACAGGGCCATGCCCGCCCCTCCATCCCACCCACTCTCTGTCTGCCAGCAGTGTCCTGCCTGGGGTTAGGCCTGGGGGGCACCCATTTATACTCTCTGAGGGCTTTGGCGACCCCACTCCTCTGTGCCCTCACAACAACCCTGTGAGGTAGGTGGGGTGTGAGGAGTCATCCCCTAGCTGACCAGGAGACTAAGGCTCGAGGAGGGACAAGGTGACACTGGATGGGGTGTGGGGAGCAAGTCTGCCATGCAGCAGGGGGCCGGGTGAGGGGACACGGGCCTGGGGGCCACAGCTGCACAGCGCCCCACCTCAGTCATGGCAGGGGGCCAGAGCCAGAGCCAGGGCCCACCTCAGGCCTTGAGAGGTGCCAGCCGGCAGCCCGCCCTGCCAGGGGTCACAGCCCCGCAGGCACAGACAGTGGGGGCAGGGAGGAGAGCGCTTCTTCCGTCTCAGGCCTGGGGCCCACCCCGTGGTACAAAAAGAAAAGATTTCAGATCGGAACCCCAAGTCCCTGGAGGTGATCTGGGGCCTCACATCCGGGTGCCTCTGGCTTGTAACAGCTAGAAAATAAGAGAGGGAAGGGGCAGGAGGATGGGGTTCAGAAATCCGGGGCAGGGGTGAGGAGGGGGTGAAGTGAGGGGCAGGAGAAGGGAGGAGGGAGAGTGACACGGAGGGAGGGGAGGGGAGAAAGGGAGAGAGAAAGAGGCAGGTGAGTAGCAGGCCCTTCTGGAGGAGGGTGTGCTGAGGCCCAGAGAAGGTGGACTGGGAACAGAATGGAGGAGGGCCTAGAGCAGGAAGGGCACCCGGCTGAGCTGTCCGGAGCCCCATGCCCCACCTTGGGCTGAGAGGTGGAGGCCCAGAGACCAGATTCTGCCAAGACTGGCTGGCGAGGGGTCAGGGCTGGGAGTGGCAGGTCACTGCTGTCTTGGGCAAAAGGAGTTACAGAGAGCAGCTGTCTGTCCCCATTTTAGAGGCACCCGTGACCCAGAGAGGGTCAGTGACTTGCCCAAGGTCACACACCAGGCACGTAAGATTGAGCTGAGGCCTGAGGGCGCCTGGCCAGGGCTTTCTCTGCCACACTCCAATCCTTAGCCAGCCCTGGCCAACTCCTCATAGGCCAAGGGCTTCTGAATGTGGCCTGTCCTCCCCACCCCCAGAAAAAGGGACCCCAGTGCCAGCAGCTATGATGCAGGAATTCCCAGACGTGCAGGGGTGAGGCCGACATAGCTGGCTTCAGCCTCCTTCCCTCCTCCCCAGCCTGGCTCCGGTGCTGACTGGCAAGTGGCAAAGAGTTCCCACCCTCTGACAGCCTCCTCCCAGAGCCTCACCCCAAAGCCCAGGTGGGCTGAGAAACTGGTAGGGGGGGGCACCGGCCAAGAGCGAGCAAGAGATGAGCACCCTCCTCGCTTCCGCCCCTCCCTCCAGCTCCGCCAAGCTACAAACCAGGGATGGCAGCTCTGGGGGCGGGCGAGGGGCCGAGGAGAAGCCCTCACTGCAAGCTCGGCCTCAGGTCTGAGAGGGTGCAGACGGGAACCTGCAAGGAGGAAGCGTGAGGAAGAGGTGCGGAGGCGAGGGGCTGAGGCAGGGGGGGCCGGCAGCCGAGGCCCAGCCTCAGAGGTGCCCGGCAGGGTCGGTGGGCCCAGAGGAGGTGCAGCTGTGCCCCTCCTCCCCAGGCTGGGGGGCGGAAGGTGGCAGGCAGGATGCTCTGGGATGCAGGGCCGGGGGGCCTGGGTGGAGGGCACAGGAGGCTGGGACCAAGGTGGCCCGGGGATGGAGGTGGGAGCAGGCAGAGAGAAAACCCGGGCAGGGGCAGAGAGGGAGGAGGCAGGGTGCAGATGAGATCCAGGAGGAAGAGGTGGATGGAGATGAGGCAGGACCTCCAGCGGGAAGTGGAGGAGGAGGAGGCGGTGGTGGGAGGGAGAAAAGGTTAGCGGGATCCTGAGATGACTGGGCTGCAAAAAGAAAGCGAGAGAAGGATGGTTATGCGGGGAGGTGCGGGCAGGCTGCACCAACCCTGGGGCCCCCCCCCCAGGCCAGTCTGCAGCTCCGTGGGAGCAGGCGGGCGGCTCGCTGGGTTAGCACTCAGTCTCCTGGGGGTTGGCTGCACCTGTCTCCTGGGCATCTGCCTCCACCTGCACCTGTGCCACCTCCACCTCCTCCACCTCCTCCTCCTGCCGCTGCTGCTCCTCCGAGAGCTGCTCCTCCGTGCTCTGCGCCAGCCGGTGGCCCCAGGGAAGAAAGAGTGGAGACGCTAACAAGGGCCTGGCAGGCGGATGGGCCGCACACCCCCACCCCGGGCTCAGGAAGAGGAAGGGGGACCTCAGGAGAGAGAAGCACTCCAGCCAGAGAAGCCGGGGACATCTTCTCCAGCCCCCTGGGAAACGTGGGGGAGGGCCTGGGGGAACCAGCACGGGGGGTGGGGGGTGCTCTGCCATGGTGCTCAGGGACCCCTCCAGCTGCTTGCTGTTACACAGAGCGAGGCTGGGGCGAGGCGTCCAAGAGGAATGGGGTGGCCTTGAGGGGTGCCTGGGGAGGCCGTTTTAGAGGGTCTGATCCAGGGTGGATGAGGCCAAGGAAGCCCTGGGACGGACACTACCCAGCTCCCCGACACCAGAACCAGTCTCTGGCACTAAGGACTGGGGTTATGGCCTGGAAGGCAGTGGGGGCTCACTCTTGCAAGGCAGCGCCAGCCACTGGCACAGTAGGGGGTGGGGTGGACAGGATGAGCCTAAGCAGGGAGGCAGGCAGGCAGACAGGAAGCCAGGGTTCCTACGTCTCCACCGCACAGGGCCAGGGCCCCAGGAGGAATAGGCTCCCTTCTTTCCAGACTGCTCTGCCAGCCCTCCGGAAGGCCCTTGGAGGGCTTCTAACCAGCAGGGGTCCTGCACTCTGGCCCTGGGGGGCTGGCACTGCCAGCTGTGCCCATATGGGAGGCTGCCTCATCAGCCAGGGCCGAGCCCCACAGGACCCCTGGCCCTCCTGCAGAGGCCCAAGGAGGTGGCCTGGGACAGGGACAGGATGGGCAGATCGGGCAGCACAGGCTGTCAGGCCATCTGGGGACAGTCACCTACCCATGGGGAACAAACAGGTCATTCAGGATCCCAGATATTCAAACCTAAAGGCACCACACAGCAAGTCTGCAGGCAACCTTCCGTTTCAAACTAGCGCAACACAGGTGCCGGGGGTGGGGAAGGGTTCGTCCAAGGTCACCCGGGGAGCGTCACAGGTGCCACAACCCAAGTTCAGGGTGCTCTCCCTCATGCCACGCCACCCCAAAGAGACCCCTGAATCACCTGACCATGCCCCGGGGACAGTCCCATCTCCTGCCCTTGGCCTGGGTAACTGGGGTGAGCAAACAGCCATGGGTGGCATGGGATGGATGGCATCGGTTGTGACATGGGGGTTAAGCATGCGCAGCAGGAGGGAGAAAGAAGAAGCAGGGATGGGGCAGTGGGGGCGCAGGAAGGGCGGCTTCCTTCCTTGGGCACAGTGGGTGGGGCTCACCTTGGTTTTGCGGCTGGACTCGGAGCCTAACCCATGCGGGCAGCCATAGAGCTCCTTAGACACCACGCACAGGAACTCGGCCTGGTCCTCGCTGCCATAGTTGTAGGAGGAGCCGATGTTGACCAGCTGAGGGTGGAGCATGGGGAGAGAGGCCAGCTGGTGAGGGCGGCAGGGAGGGCTAGGTGGATGTGGTACCATGGGGACGCTGACTTCTGTCCCTATCTCACCACCTGCTCAGCTGTGCCTGGGGACACCTCTGGGCAGGAACAGAGTCCGCCCCGTCCTGGTCAATGCCTCTGGCCTGTTCCCAGGACAGTTCTTCGAGGCCTGGCTGGGCTGGGTCTGACTGCTGCAGGAGAAAGGGGCAGAGTCTCCACAATCCCTCCCCACCACCTGCAGCCTAGCCCCAAATCCAGGCAGCACTTTCTAATGCAGCCAGAGGCCTGTCGTGGGACGCTATTCCTCCACCCAACGTGGGGCTATGGGGGGGTGCGGGGGGGCTGGCAAGGTGGAGGCGCCCAGACTATTGCCCCACTCCTGAAGCACAGGTTGGGCAGGCCACCTCAGGCTGGAGGCCCCTGGACTGCACGTTCAGCTCTGAAAGCCCAATGGCCCAAATCCCGTAGGATCTCGGAGTGGCCCTCCTTTGTCCTAGGATCCCTAGAATAAGACACCCACTGGGTCCTGCTGGCTAATACAGTCCATGCCCATAAAGGGCCTCATTCAGCCTGCAGCAACCCTCAATTGGCAGGTAGAGAGAGAAATATTGCCCTCTCACCACCCCACTCCCCAAGAGGCAAGGAGTGGCGGGGGGCACTGGGGGGTTCGCGGCTGGGAGGGAGGGGGGG